TTTTGAGTGTAATACCAGGAGCTCTTGAGACCGGTTGAGTCAGTGTCTTTCTCCGGTGTGGACGGTTGCTGACTTCCCTGTGGGTTCGCTGTGAGACCGTGAAAAGGGGTTCGGAAATCCTTGAAAGGCAAAATGCTGAAGTTATTTTTCTTTGCCGCGTTGCTCGGCAGTGCGCTGGCGGTGAGTTATTTATTATTTTTGTATATGAAAAGAGGCATTTATTTTGAATGTGTGAGGTTTTGAAGACGGACATGATTGCACGAATTTGAAATGTGATTTTGTGTGATATGCCTCTCTCCTTTATATTTCTATTTATATATACAATCTTTATCTATAAATCTGTAGCTATAATCATCTCTCTCTGTATCTATCTGTATATATATACATACATACATACATATATATATATATATATATATATATATATATATGTACATGGATCGTTCCTTCTGATGTGTCTTTTGTCTGGACCTCCGTCTTCTAAGGCCTAACTTTTATCCTTTTTCGAATAGGTTTACATATATATATATATATATATATATATATATATATATATATATATATATATATATCTTCCCCTCATTAGTTATTCTGTTCCATCTACCTGCATGTTCATTCCATTTCGATATTCTTATCATGACTCTCTGCTATGTTCGCAACGGCTGACGCACTATGTTGATAAGGACTGGCGCTCGTTAGCCAACTGTTCAATTCTTATGTGTTTATCTTCTTTTATATTTCTGCAGCAACTTGCCTCTAGTCCCATGGAACGCCAAAATCTTTTCTACACTGTTCTGGGAATGAGGGAAGGGAATATTCTTCATTTGAGCAATTCTGGGGCGATATTCTTCAAATGATCTAAAGGAACATTAATGGCCCTTAAGTGTTCTTTATTCTTAGTAAATAGAGTACTGCTTTGACGTGCAGACTGCATATTTGCCAAACGTTTAACTTTGGACTGAAGGTGCTGCCACACTAGCACTTTTTCCGTCAATTTTTGGACAATTTTAATAAACATAAATACAAACATTCTCGAATATAGCTCTTGATTTAACTATGCTTGGCTGAAAAAAGTTGACGGAAAGGTTTTCAGGCGGAAACGATCATTATCGTCTGGCTGGAATATCGACAATTCGCTCAAAAACGGACAAAATTTCAGAAAATTGTCAAAAAATTGACGGAAAAAGTGCTAGTGTGACACCACCTTAAGTGCTTCTTGCTACAGTGATTGATACAAGCGGGGTCAGTAACTCACACTAATGGTTCGGGGGCATACGGCAGTCGCCAAGGCCTTTGGTTCGAATACAGGGCGATAAATAATTCACAGAATTTCGTGGAAGCGCCCGTTCGTAACAACACTCAGACCATAGAATCAAACTTAAAATGACATAATTCTCAGATCACGATTTTGCTTACATTCTGTAATCCCTCTTCTTACTGCTATCCATTCCTCAACACACACACAATCAGAGGCATCAATTGTGGGGGCTGGAATGGGCAGTCGCCCCGCCCTAGACAGTGTTTACCCCCTCAAGGTCTGGCTTGGCCCCCTCAAAGACCAGTATGTGTAACTTTTTTTTTTTAGTATATATACACCTATATGTGTACGGTTATAGTGTAAAATGTCTATAGAATGGCTATTTTTTTCTATTTTTTGTTCATTACACTCGCCCCACCCCTAAATAAAGCTGAAAAGCTCACGCACACACATATATGTGTGTTTGTATGCGTGTGTATATAAACATGTAAACATAAATCCGTGTGTGTGCGCGTGTGTGCGTTTGTCTTCTGAAGTGCTCCTTTGAGCAATGCCGCGGCCCCCTGTTTGGACAATACTGCCGAATATCTAATTTTTTATTGCATCTCTCCCATTATCTCAGATACTTCTTGTCTTGAACTTTCTTATCACTTCTGCCAGTTCTGTCTGCTCGCCTCTATTGGCTTTGAGTTACCTGCCTCAATTTGTTTCCATCCTTCAGTTGCTATATTTTTATTTTTTTCTCTTTTATAGACATTTAAGTGTCCATACTATTGTATTTATGATCTCTTAGTTGGTGAGTTTACACGTTGTACACAACATACACCTATTTATCTCCCCCCCCTCTCTCCCTCTTTCTTCTCTGTCTCTCTCTCTCTCTCTCTCTCTCTCTCTCTCTCTCTCTATATATATATATATATATATATATATATAAATATATATATATATATATATATATATACATAATAATGTTTATATATTATTACGTAAATATATGTATATATATTATATTATATTATAATAATTTATATATGTTATATATATATATATAGAGAGAGAGAGAGAGAGAGCGAGAGAGATGAGAGAGAGAGAGAGAGAGAGAGAGAGAGAGAGAGAGAGAGAGAAAGAGAGAGAGAGAGAGAGAGAAATAGGGTATTATCATGAGTAATAATTAAAAAAAACTAAGAAACGGCCCTTCTGACTTGAACGAGAAATGTTAATAATAAGTGTCCCAAGGGCAGTAGCGAACGGCTCCGTAAAATAACAGAATGCAAAACAAATTACAGATCCAGTAAGCCACTCTTGGTCGTCTGTTGAATTTTGTTTGTCATTTGGATATGTAAACATTGCTTTTGTTCCAAGCAACAGTAATGGATGGAACCGTTGAAGATGCAATCTGCTAACTAGGCGAATTTATGTGGGATTGGGCTGGTGACGGTTATAGAAAACTGCAGCAAATTCGACGTGTTCGACGGCATCACAGGAAAAGAATTGGGAACCACTAATCTAGGATATTCTTGTTTCGATAAGTAATCGCCCATCACTCACCAAATCTCGAAAAACTGGAAGAACATTACATGCTGAAAACATGCATACATTCTAAATTAATTGATACTGTCCAAGTCTTCGTAAATGGCATATAGATGCGGTGTCACTGTTTTACATAATGAAACAGTGTCACTGCATTTGTTGAAATATATAGATACAGTACCATATAATAGTATGGTGTATTACAACTATATTATGAGTATTTATAAACTAATATATATTAAATAGAAACAATAGTACTTAGTTATGTCAACTTATATATATACTAAATGTATTATATATTGTGATATTGATGAACATATATACATATCCAACATCGAGAATACACCCATGCGAGTGCCGAACCCTCGGGCCACGAGCCCATAAGGAAAAATACTGGGGTACCCTTTCGAAGGGTCGTCAAAAAAAAGTTGCGAGGTTTACCAAGGCTCTAAATGAGAGGATCTTCGGAGCAAGCATCAGGAGGTCTCCAATAGGTTCAGGCCATGCCCCACCGCTCGCCAGTTTGAAAACATGAACCGACACGCCCTGGCGTAACCAACTCCTGCGCCCCATATCTCCCCTGGGGTCTACATAATCTCGGGGAGTGGGCCATTGCGTCAATCTTCTGCTTCTAGTTACTCCAAGAATCATAAACCCAATCTGGCTCAAGTTGAACTTAATAAATATAGGCAATCTTTAAGGCTCCAGGTAGGCATTCACGAGAGGTAAAATTGTGGAAGAGAGACACGCGCTGCCACCCAGGCAGGAGTCGAGGGCGGAGCTAGGGTGTTGGGCCCTGAGATTAGAAAGGGGCGAGCTGGGCGCTGGGATGCGGCAGGGCGCTGTGGATACAGGGATCGCCCTGACCGTCGTACTTGCACTGCGCTCTTGGGGCGCGCAAGGCGCCATGAAATGAGAAGACCCTGGTTGGGGGGTAGAAGACCCTACGGGCAACCCCTCAGGTGGATGATGCACGGCAAGGCAGCCCCGCCACCCCCTTTAATATGGGGCAGCGCCCGAACGAATAGGAAAGGGTGCAGAGATGGCATCCACCCCCGGAGCGCAGTCTGCCAGAGCGCCTTCCGGGTGGACACCCGCGAGCGGAGGCGGAGGGAGTATAAGTTTAGGCGTGCGGGGCTTGAACGCAACACTTCTTTGCGCTGCGAGGTTATGACTGCCGTTCTGCTTCTACCTCATGTGTCGAGTGGTAACCTTGGGTGAGGCTGAGAGGCTGGAGGGTGCGGCTGCTCTCCTTCGTGTAGGAGTAGTGAAGAGCACTTCCTGGGCAAGCGCCTATGACCTGTGTAGAGTCGGAGTCATATACCAAACATATATATCGTAAAGGTTGGCGGTCTCGCACATCCTCAACAGGGAGGATAATGCCCATTGCCCGACTCCACAGAACAATAGAAATGGTTACCCTCATAAGTGTCCCTGATATTCTGATCTGACTGACGTAATTGAGCTTAAAAAATATTTAGAGTTCCCCGATAGGAATTGGTTATAATTGCAGAGTGGAAGCTGGTTAATATGTCATATTTGGCTAACATATTGTAATTCTTATTAGAGCTGTGGGCTACTGCCTAAACCTCATCATACATCAGCGACTGTTCTATGTAAACTTAGATCTTGTAGAATGATGATGCTCGCACTTAGATATAAAAGTCCGAACAGAAAGATATGAACGATAAACACGCTCAAAACACTGTATCATCTGTGAGCATGACAGATGTCCCCCGAACGAGTAAGAATATTCGCATGTTGCTGGGTCAACGATCATGCGGTAATCATGGCATATGTATCGAGTACGCAATGTGCTATGCAGAACTCTTGAATCGGCTCCTGCTCTACTCGTGTTTCAATACGACTTGGTGCCGCGGAAGGCGGAGAAGAAATTACCCCCTTGTAATGGTTAACGCGGAGACTTGAACAAAAACCCTCAATATAAATGTTTGGAGGAAGATTATTTGCTAGGCCCAGAATTGAGGATTTCTGGCTCGCTGTACCAGCGCCCAGCGCCACAATCGGCCCGATTTTGAAATATTGGATTTATTCGCTGAGAGGTAAGAACATAACTAACAGTGATGCGGGTAATACATTAAAGCACGCCAAGCAGAGATACGATGCTCGCAGACGATACTTCGTTGTGTAGCTACTTAGACCGTGGTGAGAGGGGACTCCTTTTCAAATTGCAAGGGTGTACAGGAGTACTGAGTTCTGTGTACTTGCTGGTATTCTTACGACAATAGATAAATAGGGTTGTGGCTACCAACCTCGCAGAGGGACTCCATCATTTTCATAAACCCCCCAGGTTTGGCCGGTCAAAATGATTCCACCCAAATTGGGGGGAGACGTTTACAAAAAATGGACAGTCTATGAGAAAATAGGATGGGAGTGTGCCCGCGGGTTGCTGAGGCAATCTCTGATCGTCGCAGTGCTTGGCAGTCTAGACAGACCCTGTTCTTCTGTGGAATACCTTTAAGCGTGAACACTTGAATGCAGCTCAAGATACGATTGGTGTTACGCCCGAGCAGTACAGAAATTCCATCTCGCGGGAGACAGCACTTGGAAAGGCCACAGATGCATGTCGTGCAGCTCGTCTGACAGGGGATCGGGAAATGCACCGTTCTCTATTGCGCAACTCGGTCCCTGTAAAGGACAAGGAACAGTTTATTAATTAGGACAGTCTTGCAGAGGAGGGTAGAAGGCCATTTCTTAGTAAATGACCTTCGTCCTGCATACCAACCCTGAGAAAGCTGAAACCCAAGCCTCTTCACAGGTGACAGCAGTTCGCATCAGTAAGTGGTCATGATCGTTTCAGATCCTGTTGCGGTGCGGGGCACGTTGGGCTGAAGTATTGAGCAGCGTACCAGGTGCCCACCCAACGTTAACTTGGATTGCGGGGTAGTGTTCGAATCCGCTGCCCAGGACCCACCTATCAGTAGGACCCTCCCTCCTAACTGAAGTTGGGGCGATTTCCTAAGCTGTGAAAGAGGGTAAAACAGCTGGTATCTGCGGCATAATCCAGCTGAATCTGTTTAAAGGCTGGTGTGAATCCTATGGCACAGGGGTTTACATGCTGTCCTGGCTGCCATCATGGCAGTCTCGGTCCGTTTCCTCCTGACACTGTTAGGGTGGTCATCTCTCTCTGGAAGGGGAAGGCGGGACCGTTGGGACTGCAGCAATCAACCGAGGCATCACCACTGCTCAGTGTACCAGGCAAGGTTCTCGCCCACATCCTTCTGAGACGTATAGAGACCATCTAACTGAGGCACCAGAGACCTGGAGCAATCCAAGATCTCATCTGTAGTCCACATAGACCGACCTCTGGCGCTGCCGAGTCATGTAGAGCGGCCGTCGGAAGTTCGGGGGCGTGGGCTGCTCGCAGCCCTACATCGACCTCAAAGAAGGCGTTCGAATACGGTTGCACGGGAAGTCACTTGGAGATTCCTACAACTCAGATATGGGCTACTAGACCTGACGCATACGCGCGATTATTGATTCTGCGCATAACAAAACGGTTGTTCAACAAGATCGTCCACATAAATGTGCGTCGAATTATAAAAAAGAACAGTCTAAATATCAATTATCGGAGGGTACAAACCATTTGAAGATTTTTTCCTAATATCTTAAGTGCCCGCTCTCCACGACAGGAAAGCATCTCGATGCAAGATGAGATCTACATAGTCGCGGGCGTTCTTGGCGGCGTGTGCCTCTTGCTTACGGTCGCCTGCATTTTCAACACCATTACCATCATCGGGTAAGATGTATTGCATTATAAGTAGGTATGTGCGAAATATATGACTGGACAAAATATGGCAGTATAAGAATCAATGAATGTCCTTCATTACCAATGCTGATGTAGTCGTCCTCTTTTTTATGTGTTTGGCATATTGTTGTCTTACATTAAAAGCATTTTCCAATAGCCTACAATCGAAAGTGGCGTTACTACAAGCTGCTGGCACGGCCGCTGCAAAGGCAGTCACAGAAACTCACCCACCACGTAGTGAAGCACCCAGAAGGTAAATTCGAATGATTTTAACACTGGATGCATTGATCTGTTTTCATTTTTCCTCATATACATTCCTCACCTTGCCAGTTGTAGGATAAACAGCCTATGGTAACAATGTAATTTACCAAATGTACACACTAATTCCCACAGAGAGACACCCCGTGACAACCCTTATTACCCTGAGCCGAAGGGGAGGGACGACTTCAACCGCCGCCAAGATGACCCTTATCGTCGACCTCCTTCTCGCGAAAACTACAGGATGGAAAGGATGGACAGGGGAGAGAGGTATACTTGACCGTGTAGATTGGTTAATGATCCACTAGAAACGTCTTATAAGATATTATCTGACAGGATTATAGGCCATTGCAGATAAGTTGGATCAAGGGGTAGATCCAGGGCTGGTTCTTTGGCTGTTCAAGAATTTTCATTAACGTGAATGTATGATTTCTTCTTGATAATACATTATGTAAAAGCAGAAAAATCACTGTAATAATATTAACAATGGCTTTACTTCCAGTTTTATATGTGATGTAAAATCACTTAAAATACTTGAAATAATTATGAGGTCATTAGATAATCAAACCTCAGTTACAGTTCAAATTGCTTTCTAATATACATTGTAATTGACAATTCTATTATATTTCCCCCATAAATCCTACATCCCACTACAAATGTAGTTTCCCACACAATTCTCTGGATCTACTCCTGAGGCAGACCATAAATTTTCCATCTTTTAATGATACTGGCTGAAAGTGTAGTTCACTTTCATGTTTAGTCTGTCTTAAATGCTATACATTGCTTTTTGTAGGGATTTATTTTGTAGATTTGATGCTTGTAGTTATTAATGCATTTTATCCTGTGTTTTTATTTTGTTCTTTTAAAGTGTATCTGTATTTGCTGTGTTAAAAAATATTCATGTTTATAGATTGTACTGAATTTCATGACTGAAGTCTTCTAAGTCAAGTCAGTTTAGATTAATCTGTTAACTTTTTGTAAATAGCATCCATACTCAGTTGAAGTAGTAATGTACTCAAATTCTGGGCAAAGGTTTTAACAAGTCTTCCTTTAAATACTCTTTCATTTTAAAAGTTGCTGAAACATCCTTGAAAAATTGTGTTGTATAATTATTACATAATGGCTTTTTCAATTTCTCTGATTTTGCAGCTTGTGTAGCATTTTTTTTTTTTTTTTTTTTTTGTTCTCTCCTTTTTCTGTCATATAATCAGTTCAGATATAAACACTGGAAGTCTTTTGATAAAGATTTTATTATCATGTTTTGTTAATACTAGTAGGTGGTATAGCATTCTTCAAGAAGATTCTCGAGTGCAGTGCCTTGGTCTTATCAATCCCATGCAATTTAAAACCATGAACATTATTTTAAGTTTATTCCTAAAACATGCTAAATAGGCAGTGGTTATTGTTGACTTATTATTGTCTTACTTTAGACACCTCAATTGTAAACAACATTGCTGATCAAATTGCTAAAAACTAGTTTCATTCCAAGTATTATTCACAAAATGAAGCAAACAATTAATTTTCAATATATGCTCAGTGTCAACAAATTATATATTTTAGAAAGATACTAGTGCAGAAAGTGAACTTCTTAATGTTTCTTTGTATGGGATTTGTTTGGTTTCCTTAGTTTTATGCAGATAGTTCCAAAGTATTACAAGTCACGTATATCTTATTTGTTAGGTCCATTATCTTTACCTTTATCATACTAAATTCAAATCAATTTTCTTAAAGAAATACAAGTCAGTAAATACTTTAAAAATGTAAAGATTTTGGGCCTTGCAAAGGTCATGTCGTTGTGGTTGCTTATACAATCATAGGTTTATGTAGCTATTTCTTTGTTTTATGTATGGGTATAATTGCATGGCTTTGCTTCTATATATACAGATATATGGACAGAAACAACTACCATGATGTATACTATAGCAATGGAAAAAACAGCAGGTGAGTGTGTAAATTAAGTCGCACTGCATGCTGTATCAGTAATAACAAGTATGTGCTAAACATCCTTTCTTCTGGAATATTTTGTTCCATCTGAATTTTACTTAGTTATGCTGACATTTCTGGGTGTAAGTTTTGTAAGTATTATTAGTATATTAGTTACATCACTAAGAAATAATGTATATATTTTTAATATTATCTATTTATATTTCTAGACCTGCAGCACCTCCTCGGCCACACCATTCTAATGACCACCGAGCTGCAGGATACTACTGAGCTTGTTTATCCTAGGTAATAGTTCATGAATGGCTAATAAAGTTCTCTGCAAGTGACCATAATAGAGAAATAGTAACTCATACAAAATGTTCCTTATGGAGCAGCAAATAAATGCAAATACTACATGCTTATAATAAGTAAAATTATTGATGATTTTATTCTATTCTTTGTTTTTGTAGACTGATTAAATTTTTGGGAAATTTTAAAATTAGAAACATTCTCTATAAGAACTGTTTGATTCGTTTCAAGAGACGTGAAAATTCAACAATCATCATTTCATTGCTTCTGACTGAAGGAACATTCAGGGAAATTTCAGATATTTAATCTCTTTATTGTATTACAATGAAGAGATGAGTAGTAACAAAAAGAACAAAGACAATGATATATAGAAATATTATGGAAACCTCTTTCCCATTTAAGTCTAACTTGTCTGTTTAAAAATTATAATTTCATCAACTAAAATATACACTGTAATAAAACAAAAAGCTTTGTTATGTTACCTCAAATGAAATTTTGAGTGTCTTATTTTATATAAATCTTTTTATATTAGGATAATATTACAAATGCTAAAGTTTTTTGGAAGTAATTCTTATTTAGGCTTACATAGTTTGTTCTTAGGGTAATTGTCCAAATGCAACAGATGTAATACTAGATTTTTGTTTTGTTAAATAAGTCGCTTCACTTAAAATACCTTTCAAGTTGCAATGTGATTCATGTGAACTGCAGCTTAAATGAAATGGATGAACATTGATATAATTATATTATAGATGTAACAAAAAATGTACATATATATAGTGTATTTGTTTATCATTATTGGACTTAATACAATATTTATTGTTGAAAGTAAATCAGCTGATTAGCTGGTATTTGGAATCAGCTGATAAGCTGGTATTTGGAACGCAGACAAAAAAATCAAATAATTAATTCCTAAACATATTATCTGGATATTAGTGCTTTAATTAATAAATTTCTTCACATGATTTGATTTTCTTTCCCTGAACGGTAAAAAAATGGACCTGAAAAAGGTGAAATGATACCTCAAATGTCTTTTTTTTAACCTTTTGTTATTTCTCAAAAACAGAAATAAAAATTCATATAGTTTTTACAGTGTTTACACAAACAATTACAAAATAGGCATTGTAATATACTATACATGTGTATAAGAAACAATCTTTCTTCTATTAAACCATCTTCTCAGGAAAATTCTTATACGGACACACCTGTAAAATAAGATTAAATATATTAATATATACTTTTAAACGTTATTTACAATATTTCAAACAACTGTCTTGCTAAAAGCTGCAAGCATTTATCAGTCCAATAAAATATGTATAATCTACCCTAAGTTTCCTCAAATATAGTCTAAAAAAAATGGTTGAAATATTGAAAAATATTATCACAGCAATATGAAAGAATTATGAAAACCAACCTTTACTGTGGATTTGGATTAAGAACATCAAATCCAACAAAATCATTTGCAGTTTTGACACCAACAGCAAAGAACAGAATACTCTTCACCAGGGACCTGAAAATGATATTACTATTAGTACACATTACACAGAAATTTACAACCAGTTTCAATTGTTTTCACAAAAAGGAATAAAGTTTATAATTTAATAACCTGAAACTCTTTGATCAATAATAATTCAAATGTCCCACAGAAATCTATTTTATAGACAATCTTTATGACCTTATGTTACCAACTAACTGTTAAACAGAACACCAAAGAGCAGTTCCTGGATGGGTAAAATTCCTCCCATAATATTATGCCATCAAAGCTCACACAGTAATTTATAAATGATGTGTAGGAGGGAGAATCCTCCCTAATATAAATATAAAACAATATGAAATTAAGTAAAACAGTTGTATTCTGCTCAATTTTTTACCTCCTTTCAATTGTTAAATCAGATATGACTCGTATTTTGTAGGTGGTGGAAAGTCTATTGACAACTGATCACCACAGAGGCACTCCAACTACATCCTGTGCCTCCATGCCTATAGTGCTCTAACAAGAGCAAGGAAAGCTGCATCATGTATTCCAACAAGGCAAAGTTTGGTATGGTTTATTATCTGTCCAAATATTGTCAAATAGATGTACAAGATTTTTCTGGCTAGAATATGTATAGTGGAAGTACTCAGTCATCTCATTAGGAGTGCTGTGATGAATGGAGGCCACAGCAATTATCTGATGCCACACACATATTCATCCTTTAAGGGAGGTCACATTATCTCGGTAATTTATAAAGACCAAGCTACTTTCTTGGGCTCAACGTTCATCAAGATGAATGTTTAAATGTTTAATGTTTGAAGATAAATGTGCTGCACATCAAAGGTCATATAGCACTATGATAAAGTATTGTGTCGGAAAGGGCAAAGGAAAGTTAAAAATTATGATGAAATGTGTTAGATGTCAAAGGTTTGAGAGCATTATAAGATAGTATGGTAGTGAAAAGGAAAAAGGGGAGCAAGTGAACTATAGCAAAAATTAGTAGAAAGGGAAGGGTTAAGGAGGTAGGGGGCGACTGAGTGAATTATAGTGTATCTGTCACTTGAGAAGGTATAGGAAAAATATTCAAGGAAAAATAGATAGTTGTTGAAAAGTAGAATAATCCAGGGAGAGAGGGAAGGTGTTAGATGTCAAAGATTAGAGGGTGTTATAGGAAAGTATGGTAATGAAAATGGAAAGGAGGGAAATAAATGAAGTAGAGCAGGGATTAGTAAAATGGGAAAGGTTAAGGAGGTAGAGCGATGAAGTGAATTGCAATGAATCTGTGACTGGGGAAGGAATAGGGATAATAGGTGATAATGGTAGATAAGGTTGTCTTAGTAATACGGGATTAGGTATCTGAGGGTTGAGATAAAGGATCAGGAGTAGGCGAGGGAGTAATGTCCGGGGGTTCTATAGGGAAGATGGGGTCTGGGGAAGGGTATTGTGATAAAAGAGATTCACGTGTGTATCCATAAGGGAGTGGGAGGGATAGTGGGGAAGGATGGGGTTTTGGGGAGGCCTTTGGTTTGGGTGGTTTGGGTGGCTGAGAGGATGAGGTATTTTGGGAAGGGGTTGGGGGAATATAAGTGGGTAGAGCAACTGAGTGAATCTGTGACTGGGGAAGGAATAGCTTCATTGATCAAGGAAAACAGAAGTGGCTGTTGGAGAAGTAGAAGAATTCAGGGGATAAGAAATGGGGACTGGGAAAGGTGGTGAAGTATCAGGAAGAATTTCTGGAAGGGAGGGGTCTGGAGAAGGACACGGATAGAGGGAATTTGTGTGAGTATTCAAATGGGAGCGGTACAGAGGGTGAGGTATGTTGGAAGGGTGTAGGAGGAGGGGGGGTGGAGGGAACTTGAGGAGGAGGATGGATATCTGCAAATACTTCAAATGTAGAAGGAAGAAGAACAGAGGGATTGAGGGGTAGATAAGGGAGCAGAGTGTTCCCTTGGGCCATCTTTAATAAGTTTTGGATGTCTTTAAGGGTTTCTGGAGGGTAAAGAGGATTGAGAAACAAGGATTCTATTATAAGGAGGAGAAGAGGAGATAGATATCTGAGGAGCAGAAGAGGAAAGTGTAGGAGAGAATGTAGTAGGAGAGCCTGGAGTGACACGTTTAGGTTGTCTGGTACGATAGAAAAACCTTGTTGTCGTGCTTCCTGTCTGGCCTCACTCTAGTTTAATCTGAGGACTGTTACCTCACAATAAACTTATAGGCAGGGCAGCTCTTAAAAAATACATTATGAGAGTCACCACAACTGGCACGTACATGACTGAGCAGGGCAATTTGAATGGTCATGACCAAGTTGGGCACATAGAGGGCAGCGGGCTGTGGACAATGTTTGGCTGGGTGGCCAAAACGCTAACATTTCTGACACTGACGAGGAAGGGGTTGATATTGTCGGACATGATAAGACAGTCTACCAATATAAAGCTCATGGGGGAGGTCTTGTCTATGGAAACTAATCTTAGCAATATTGATGTGGGATTTATGCTGGCCTCTGGGAGGAATAGTGTAACACTGTACTGCCAGTGCATCATATTCATCAGGCAGGAAAGTAGGTAATTTTCACAGTCTGACCAGTCCTTGTCATTTCCAGTTCCAGTGCAAGTATTAACCCACTTGTGCCAGGTGTCACACATATGTGACGTACAGAAAAAGGACCATGGCCGGCTGTCCCACTGGTGCGATGCTGGATCGGAGCTTGCGCTCTGATTTTGTTGCCCAAGGCAGGCAATGCACGGGCAGGTTCCCGGACTGGCCCATGCACCCATTTTGATACCGTCCAGAAATGGGGATTATCGCCCTATAAATGGATCATTGCATGTGGGTTAAAAGAGGGGTGATGTTCTGCAGGAATGCAGTGCAGTGCCTGAGCTTGGGATTCAGACGTAGCCATGACAAGGCATGAACGATCAGAGTGACTGCGAAAGGTAACCTTACCTACTTGTTTCTGGAGGCACTGCTGAAAGAGAAGGGTATTCGCAGAATAAGGGGCTGTTGGGGGAATCACAAAGAATCGATCCCACTTGGCTGTGCCAAAGAGTACTCAGAAGGTTTGCAGAGGTAGAGGCAGTAGAAGGATGAAGGCGAGAGGAAGATGGGATGGTGTGGAGTGGAGTAGTTCTGCAGGGGGGATGACAATAAGGATGAAGAGTAGTAATAAGGGATGAAGGGGTAGACATTGAAGAGGACTGTGCAGCAGGAGATGAAGAGGAGAATGTTGGGGAAGAGGAAGGGGTACTTTCTAGAGGTTGAATAATAACCTGGGTGGATGTTTAGAAATGTTTAGACTTGTTCGTAAGCATTGAAGAGAGGGTATGAGTATCAGTGGTCGGAGCCATGGTCAAAGGAGGGGCAGGGGTTTGAAAATCATCAAAATCAAATTCACTAAGGGGTAAGCTTTAATGCCCCTATTAAGGGTAAAGAATCTTCATTACTGGCCATGGTGATCTTGAATAAACTGGGGAAAAGAAACGGTCTACCCCTCAGGGTCCCCATAAGGGGTAAGGGCTCGGCAATTAACCAAGGGAATACTGTGCCCATGGCTCCCAGAGCCCATTTATGACTGACACAAAGCCAACCTTTCATCCTTTCTGCACGGCTCTCACACCTTGGGAATGGGATAGAAGAAGGGAATAAAGAAGATATGAAAGAGGAAGGTAGAGAAGAAAAGACCAAACAAAATTAGTTAAGGTGATGGCTGAGGCCCAAGGTTGGGGTGATCCCCTACATTGGGTCCCAGTCTTCATCTCCTAAGCCCTCCCACAACAACAACAAGCAAGGTATTCGGAGGGTCACCAAGTTGAAATTCCTGGCCTATTGTACAAAGCTGAACCACTGTATTGGTGTTTCATCCTGTTTTTGTTTTCTTCTAAAACAAAAAGTACACTACAATTACTTGTAAGCTCTTTATGTGATTATTATATTATAGTAAGTATTATTATTTTGTTGAAATAAGTAATATATTTTAACTAAAAATGAAGCCACATTAAAATTCTAAAGATCTAGACAAACATTCATTTGACCAAAAAATATAAATACACACATCTGATACACTTTAGGTATGGAGCATCATTATGATGTGCATATTTTGCATTATATTACATTTCAAGGTTTAACTCACACTTTCTTTGTCATATCTCATGCCTTCTATTGCTGGAACCAATGTACTGATATCAACTGGTTTCATCTGATGAAATATGATATATACAACCTTGATATAATAGTTTTAGTCCATAGAACATATACAAACAAGCTGGTGATAATTTGCCTGTAAAGTTTCAGTTTTTTCACACAGCCATATGGTATAAGGTAAATTTAGACTATAATAGATGGATTGGCAGAAAATAAGTCACTCCAAATATGGTTAGTTGATAATTAGAAAGTTATGCAACATGTAATGCTTATCTAGTTAGGCTATCATAAAGAATGGTAAAAACTACATTCAATGATACATGTTGTAATCTATGCTGGATAAGAGTAACATTA